TTATTTTTTTATTTTATTAAAAACAAGAAAAATTCGGTATGGAAAATATAAATAATAAAAATTGTCAAAACGTCAGCATATGCATATTTTTAAACGTTGACTATATATACATACATATGTCCATACATACATACAACTACAATAAAAATATTATTAATTTTTATTGTTCAAGTGGAAAACAGTAAACCCTAATCTTAAAGTCGAAAATTGGATTTAAGTCCATTTTAATTGGACATTATTAGAGATATGAATGATTAGAATGCTTTTGGCTTTTGATGGATTGCGGTACATACGAAGTACAATTAATTACACCATACTACGACCCTGTCGGAAGCATCAACAATCAAAAGAAACTACCGTCTACCACACTACCACTAGTGACTACCGTCACTCACAAAAGTATTTTGCATTTTTTTTACGATATCCAAAATGTTTTTCATGGTAAATTTTAGCGGCGGTGGCAGTGCTTCTTAAATGTATGCACATTGTATTAATTTAACAAAAAAACGTGCTAATAAGCGGTTTAAGAAAAAATTATGACTAAAACCAGAATGAAAGCAAAGGTGAGTACTTTGATGAGGAAAAGAATAAAAGTAAAAATAAAAATAAAGATGCGCAAATATAAAGGCTAAGATGAGGGGCAAGGTAAATTTAAACAAAAATCCTGTAAATACAAATTTCAAACAAAGAAAAATTTAGCAATTTTTCATCATAATTTCAAACCTATTAATCAGAATTTTCAAAAAAATTCAAGTATGCAGTTTTATTATACCTTTTCCATTCAAGTTTAGAATAATAAGAGATCCTATTTTTTGATAATTTTTTCTGAAGGAGTTGTGCATTTTAATCCATATAAAAAAATCGTTATACACAGGGCGAGTTAATATAAGGTGATAGCAGGACCACAAAAACAAAAATTTACATGTATTTTTTTGTTGCTTTGGCGGCATTTCCTCCATTTAAAAGTAATTGTCGAGCGTGCTCTACACCGTCAGCAAAAAAAAAAAATATTAAAAACTAACATGATTTTCTAGCGTTTTAAAATTTGCACTTTAACATACTAATGGACTATATAACTGCATACTTAAAATTAAAAAAAAAAACAAATTTAGTAAAAAGTTTTAAAATGTTGGCTGTAATTGTTAAAGTTTGTTTAATTTTTATAAATTTTGAACAAAGCTTGAAATGTGGATTTATGTGGGGCTGGCTATGTAATGTGCTAAACTTTTATAAAAAAAAATTATAGACATTAAATAGACAAAATAAAAAGAGCCAAAACTGGTAAAAATATGTCACTTAACCTAATCAGCTGACCACAAGGGTATATTGGGTCATATGAAAAGCATGTGCGGATTATTGTCATTACTTGGTGTTGATGCTCATACATCTGGCAATAGTAATCAAAAGTGGGTTTGAAGGATGACATTACAGGCTACATTTTTAGTGAAGTGAAGTGAAGTGAAGTTACCTTCTACCTGGTTAGAATAACCTACGAAGAAATTACCGTAATGAGAAAATTTGTGTATTGAGCGATAGCCAAGCGGCACTCAAGGCCCTCTCATCATTTGAGGTCTAATCCTCCTTGGTTCTTGAGTGCATCGATAAGCTGAACATCTTGCCCGAGTGCAATGACATTCAATTAACTTGGGTGCCAGTTCAAATAGGAGTTGCTGGCAATGAGGAAGCGGACCGGCTTGCCAGAACGGCAGCCGCCACGTCGCCTACAGGGCCTGAGCCCTTCCTTGTGATTGGAAAGACGGGAAGGAGAGGAACATGCTAAGAAATCAACACTGGCGTAACTGGTTAAATTCCTACTGGGAAGACGGGAGAGGTACGTAGGCCGACTCTGGCCAAGTGAAGAATTGATACAACCGCTAACCCCTGGATATCGCATCAAATTTTTGGGCTCTCTACGATTGGGTGGGTACTGCAAATTGTTGAGCGCGCAATAGATCTCCTGGTCGCAGTGCATACCTCTATTTCAATCCATCCATCTATCAACCTCTCATTTACTCCAAGTTTGGGCGAGTGGTTGGAGATGCTGCTACGCGGTGTGGCTCAGGATTAATTTCCTGATCCGAACAACATTTAAAAAAATAGAAAAAAGGGCAGCAGGCAATTACTTACAAACAACCGAGTGTATTTCTGCCATGAAAAGGCTTCTCATATAAAGGCAACCCTGAAACATAAAGACGATCGATCACTCACAATAACAACAGCTTAATTTTGATTATTTCTGCCCCATTCAGTCACAGCAAAAGCGCAGAAAGAAAGTAAATCACGCTGCAGATCCTCTAATCATGAATCGCATTTGTTCAATTAAATCATAACATTGTTTATAAATAATACCAGTTTTAACAGTCTGGTGCATTTGAACTCTTATCAGAATGACCAAATATATTCAAAGTATATAATCAGCGCTGGCCTTGAACAGTTTAAGGCAACCTACATACATATGTTCTTCGAGATATTTGTAACTTACAGTGCATCTTAAAAGAACAAACATTTCTTCAATTCGAGGTTAAACTTATCGTTTTATTTCATGCGTATGTATAAAATTCCGGCGTGCGTGTAAAAACTTCTCTTTACTACTACTATTTACTCACGATGGGCCCAATAAACGAGCTCCATAAACCGGTCGAGTACGAGTCGGCATAAGTACGAGTTAAGTATACTACAGTATCCAGACTTGAAACTCTTCATCTGCAATGGGTAGTGGTTGAACTGTTATAATGGAATTCACGGGGCGAGAATTGGTGAAGTTGGTAATTGTTTCTCGATGAATGTCATTGATGTCATCCGTGAGTTCATAGAGATGTCTTCTGACGTTCCTGGAAGGAGACTCTGCTTGGAGAGAGTCTCTGCGACCATTGCTGTCTGGAGTGCGGTATTCTGATAACTCAGCAGCTTCGATCACTGAGGTAATTTAGATTCGGCCGAGCCAATTCCTTTGTACTTGTATGCTGCCAACAACGTTTTTTTTTTTTTTGCTTTGCCCAAAGTCCAGCCGGCGAGCGATTTTACGACCTTTGTTGTGGTTCTGTACTTTATTGACAATTGCGGTTTTGTGCCCGGACATGGGAAGCAAATTGTCAAAATTAGGCCTTAAAATTTTCGGGCTATTGGCCGTCGGTTTTGGTGTGCCGCCTACATAGATGCCTGAATTTAGTTTACCATTTCCTTCCAGGCGTTAAGAAAGGTCGCCGTTGATTTCGTATGGGAGATATAGCCGGACAGACCAGAGATATAGCCGTTTGCTTTCAAACACATCAATACCCAACATCGCGCTTTCGGCGGCGTAGGAGATCAGTGAAACTCCCTCCAGCACAGAGCGGGCAACGCCCCGTGGTACCGTTTTTTTTTTTCTTAAATTCTAAGCTTCGTGGCTTAATCCCTAAAAGGCCAGATGACTGTCAACCACTCAGTTAGTTCGTCGTACATCTTTTTAATCACTGTGGGAGCGATAATGCCGAAANGGTGGCTGAAAAAGCTTTGAGATGTAAAAGTTGAAAGTAGCACAGAGCGGGCAACGCCCCGTGGTACCGTTTTTTTTTTTCTTAAATTCTAAGCTTCGTGGCTTAATCCCTAAAAGGCCAGATGACTGTCAACCACTCAGTTAGTTCGTCGTACATCTTTTTAATCACTGTGGGAGCGATAATGCCGAAATGCCCTATTGTAGCTTGAATGACAGCCTTTCACAATTAAAAAACTACCAGGAGGCTGAGAGTTGCCTAAGCGTTTACAGCGTAGGTGTGGTGATGCTGCTATGCACTTTACGGAAACAATGTTGATGCGTAGTGGGAGTTAGGTTGAATGTGAAGTTTGGAAGCTGTAAGGTCTGAAATGCCTTCACTACTGAACAAACGAGACTTATTGGCAGATAAGGCTATACTTTATTGGGTGTATTAGTAAGACGCAGACTTCCACATGTCGAGTATGATGAGTGTGGTCAAGGAACAGTTAAGCACCTTAGTGACATATTCCACTCCCATCGGACTCTTGTGTTTCAGCAACAACAGGTATAGTCCGTCGGGACCACCTGAAATTCGTCGCTGGTGAAAAAAGAAGCGCACTGGGTTTTAGGAGATTATGCATCCTTATGGTCATTCGACGTTTGCCCTTATCCACCGAAGAATGCTGTAGGAAGTAAAAATCAGGATTGTTGTTGATTTTGTACTCTCAAATGTCAAAAAAGGTATGGAAGTCATGTTAATGCGCAGCAAAGGACAGGTTGCACCTGGAGTACTTGAGTAGCAAGTGTAGTGGTACTATTAGGCATCAAATGTCTTCCTTACTGGGGAAAAGGAGAGTTATTGGCCGATGAGATTCCCCATTTGTTGGCTGGGTTCCTGGGTTTTGTTGGGACCACTCTCCTAGACTTCCACATGTTGAGCAATATGGGAGTGGCCACCGACAAGTTTAGAGCCTTAGTGAGGTTTTCTCCTCACATCGGACCACAGTATTCAAGCATCAAACGGCATAATTCATCGGAGCCAACGGCTTTGGAGGCTTCCCGATCACCACCTGAACTTCGTCGCTGGTGAAAGTAAGGAGCGCACATGGTTCTGGGGTATCTGGCAGTCACCCGACGAAGGATGCAGTGGGAATTGTAGGCTGTAACAGTGGTTCAGTGATATCCCAATGGCCCATAAGCTCGGGAAGCAATAATCAATATGTATAAAAATTTGGCGGTCCTTGTCTTATAAGTTATAAAGTTTCGACTCAACTGTTTTATGCTATTTTTTTATATTCTGTAAAATTACAAAAGTTTTGGATTTCCAAAGCTGCGTTTAAAAATAAAATTTTACAAACATTTGGCTAAGAAAGTGTTAAAAAATGATTGGCTGGGGATTCACATCACCCTGTGTTGTCATATTGGCAAACAGCTGATTAGTATTAGAGGTGCGAGTATCGGTTGTTCGATAAATTTAAACAAGTTTTACTAAAACGAGAAATTTAGCCATTAATTGAGCGAAACACAACTTTTACTGATAAATTTCAAACTTCAAATAATTATACCAAGTAATAATTTTCCATTATAATTCGCTAAATTAAATACGGTGATCAATCACTATCCCCGTATATGATAACAGAAACTATCGTCCATCTATCGATACCAAACGGCCTATCGCTGCCCCCAATCAAATAAATCAGAAAGTTTCTTTGGCTGCAAAGGTCATCTCTTTGTTTTCTAATAACAATTTTAGATATTGCCTAAAGTAAATGACCTCGAGTAATGGAAAAATGTGAAATCGGTGCTAAAAGTATACATATAACTTGTGCAATTGAAATATTTTGGTTCAAGCAGCTTGCTCACCAAGCTCTATTACGTTTTAATATCGGGGAGTTGCGAAAAAATTGCGCACCTAAAAATTAAAGAAAAATGTTATAGTTAAGAGGAATTAAATTAATATCTCCAAAATGGACACGCTATGCAGTGAAATCGGCTTAAACGCACAGCATTTGTGTGAAACTACTGTATCTGGTCGTTATCAGTTGATTTGTGATAAAAAATGGTTGCAGACTTTGGAGCAACGACGCAAAATAGCACCGTTCACTATTTGGCCCAAGTTAGATAAGCGCGCTCATCCAACTGATCCCCTGGATCATCCATGGACACGCATATTGCTGCAAACTTATCCGAAGAAACCAAATTTACAAGTATTTCCACTGCAACGCCATACAGGTGAATGTGGCCTAGACGCAGGCATAGATGCTGGCGGCAACTATCCACTTACCTATTCACAAGCGCTTGGGTATGTGACAAGCACAAATTTTAAAAATCTTTGGGAGGCGGCATACAAACGCTATCCTGGTGCCAGTGTGAAATATGTAAAAGCTGCTGGTAAAGCAGTCAGAACTTTAAGTTCGCCTTCCACATGCGGTCTGGTACTTTACGACGTTGTGTTGAAGGAGTTGATACAGCGTGTATATAATTGTCCGGTCATACATTGTCAGCTAGACCGGTTACGCGAAGGCTTGGATACTGTGAGCGTTGTTGGCGAGGATGTGGCTGGTATGAATCATATATTTATTTCAATACTTACATTTTCATTTACTTTCTTTTTCACTAACAGGTCCTGAGTGTCATGCAAATATTATGCCCGCTCTAATTACAATCGAAACTTCGACGCACTTTTGCGTAATCTTTTATCCGCCTGCCATCGTAACAAGTCTCTACGATTGCATTACCTATTCGCCGTCAATATTGGGTAAATCTCACAACAAATCGCTCTTTATCATTTACCAAATCATACAGCTCTCGAAAGCGCTACAAGCGTCTGGCCTCTTTTTGGGTGATATACGTCTACATGACATTATGGTGCGTGAAAATCTCTGGATACAAGTACTTCCACGGCTTGAGTGCTGCATACTGTCACTTAATAATGATGAAAATGCGGTACCATCACCTACCGAAACGGCGCATGGTGCAGAAGGAGACAATTCCGTGGTAATAGATGAAAACGAAAATGCCAGTTTTGTTTGCGATGTTTATGGCGATGACCCAGACGAAGACACAGCCGATTGCTCAAGCAACACCAAATTTGATCTACAGTTCGCGTACGACTTGGAGCAATTTACGTTGCGTGAATACTGTGAGATGTGGTGCAATGGTCAACTTTCCAATTACGATTATTTAACGATATTAAATAATGCCTCTGGTCGTAGTCTCGACAACCCTGCATATCACCAAATAATGCCGTGGGTAAGTGATTTTACAGCACGCAACGGCCTGAATTGGCGCGACTTGACCAAAAGCAAATATCGTCTCAATAAGGGTGATGTACACTTGGATTTGATGTTTTCGCACGCTACTCATCAGGGCTTAAATACGATTAGTAATCCAATAGCAGCTATTGCAAGCACTCAGGCACCGCATCATGTGTCTGACTTTCTTTCGGAAATCACATACTTTGTTTATATGGCACGTCGCACGCCGCAACACATACTCTGCCAACATGTGCGTCCCATTTGGGTGCCTGCGGAATATCCTGCATCTATACAACGCCTGCAACAGTGGACACCAGATGAATGCATACCAGAATTTTACTCGGATCCCATGATTTTTAAGAGCATACATGAAGATTTACCCGATTTGGAGTTGCCGACATGGGCCTCTTGTCCAGAAGATTTCATCGCAAAACATCGAGAAGCTCTGGAGTCGCAATATGTAAGTGAACGGCTCCAGCATTGGATTGATCTCAATTTTGGGTGAGTTGTAACAATCGAAACGTACTTACAGTCATTTAACCAAAATATTAAATTATAGCTACAAATTATCTGGCAAAGCAGCTGTAAAATCGAAGAATGTGTGTCTCAGTTTGGTCGATCAGCACAAAGACCTCTGCCAACGTGGCATTGTGCAACTTTTTACCACTCCCCATCCTGCTAAACGTTTCCCATCCCCATGGTTCAATAAGACACCACCACGTCTCAGCCAGTTATACGCACCGCCGCGTTCTCCACGTTCCGCCAGCTCCACGCTCCGTCCACACGAATCTAGACGTCTTGCCAAAAGCACGGAGAACCTCAACGCTCCCGATACAGCCGTTCCAATTGCAACCGATACTTCGGCTATGTCCACTTCCTTACGTCGCACTGCAGGATCATCCTCTTCGCCGCGTATGTCTTCGCGCGCAAACAACATTGCTAGCGATATGACTTCCAGTTCGAGTTTTTATCCTAGCACTAATTTTATTGATTTGCCAAAAGATTATAATCCTTGTGCACTACTCCAGTCGCTCGAAACAATGGAGACTTTCTTTGCACGCACATTTCCAAAGCAAAAGCCAGCCACAAATACAGTGGAGAAAATTATAAACAGTGATATGTTGTTTGAGGCTCACTCCTCGGAGAATTCGTTTACAAATCGTCTCTTTCTAGAGGGTGCATCAAATGTTGTGCAGTCATCCGCAACACAAAGCCAACAGCAACCCAAAAGTCTACTTGCGCCAAGTCCAACTACCCTGAAAAAGCGCTCAATTAAACATCTGTTAATGGAGAAACGGGAGCGTGAGCTTCAAGTGCTGGGTGGCCTCATTGTGGAACTGTTTGCTATGCATCGCCTGCGCGCAATGCTTATGAACGGCGTCAACGCCAGCATCGAGGACCGACTGCAAGCCTGCCGCACAGTGGCTAAAATGTATCGCCAAGATATACCAAAGTGTTTGCGTTACGTCGTCGCCCTGCTGCTGCAGCTACAGCGAGTCGACCTAATCACTGAAAAGGGGCTGCCATCGCCTTCAGCCACTCAATTACTCGAGCCAATTTTCGCAAATCAATTAATACCTTTTCCCTCCAATTTTTACCCAACCTATGCGCTCATACGCTCATTGCATCAATTCGATTTCAACGCTTCCTTGCTGGAGTTGTGTACCCATTTCAATTGTAATGGACGTGAGTGCGCGAAATACACCGACATGGATCGTCAGCGTGTCCTCTTCGAACGCAAAATAGCCGAGTGTAAGGTGATGTCTTGCTGTGCGTATATCGGCCGTTTGTTAGAACCTATTGGTTATGAGCAATTTTCACCCGTGGAATTATTGCTACCGCACATTATTGATTTGCTGTTGGATGAACAGACATCGATTTTAAGTGCATGGAATCTATTCGATCCAGTTGCGCAAGCGCTCGGCATTGTGAATACACAAAAGTACCTGTTGTTGCCCATTATGAAATTATACGATGTGGAAAGCTTTGAACGTGGCATGATTTCGGTACGCACACGTATAGCGGATGCAAATTGTGCAGGTGGTGGGCAGGTGCGTTTCTCCATGAGCAGTTCATTCAAGTCGCGAAAGTCCGTTAAGCTCTATCATCACAGTTTTCTTTTACGCTTAATTGTACGCTTCGGATTGAAGTGTTTTCTACACAATTTTATTGCGCCACTTATTGAGGCTGTTGGCGGCTACAAGGAGCCTGAAGATGGCAATGGCTTCCATTATCATAGCTCAACAAATGGCGAGCGTATTGGTAGTCGGAGAACAAGCCGAAATTTAAATTATGCCTCTACAGAAGAGGATATCTCTTTGACGTTGATGTCGACAGAGGAGGCTGAACAAAGCGTGGATGATGCAACGTTAAATGTGAAAGTACCGGGTGAGTGTGAAGATTACGTGAATATGGTTTTCGTAAATGAAGAATTATATGTTTAAACAAGTAAGAAAGTCTAAGTTCGGGCGGAGCCGAACATTAAATACCCAGCGCAAGTATTTAATATATGACTTTCACCTTTCCGAAAGCTACCGCTACATGGTAAGCCGGGGCGTATCAATTTTGAGTAAATTAGCGTCCTTAAATTTCGAAATATTGAAATTTTAAGCATTTTTGAAATTTACCGTTATATGAAAAGCGGCCTCAATTTNAGTTTTAGTTTCTAAAATATCGCAGTTTTCGTATTTCTTAAAATTACCGTTATATGGGAGGTAGGCGTGGTTATTGTCCGATTTCGCCCATTTTCAATACCATCCGTCCTACGCCCAAAAGAAGTTCACGTCCCAAGTTTCGTTAAGATAATTCAATTTTTACTCGAGTTATCGTGTGCACAGACGGACGGACGGACGGACACCGCTTAATCGATTTCTCTTTTCATTCTGATCATTTATGTATGCATTTGTCAATATCTATCTCGATTCGTTTTGCCTGTTACAAACAACCGTTATGTGAACAAAGTTATAATACCCTTGTGCACAAGTGCGCTCGGGTATAAAAAGCAGTCCACACATTACTCAAACCTAATCCTATGTAAAATAACCTAAACTCAAATGTTATGTCTATCGATATACATCTCGTTTTACGATATAAATGTACCGATTTTGTTATCGCTAAATTTGTTAATACATTTGATTATTTATAGGAAAATGTTTGTCGATTATTGATATTTTTTCCAATACACAATATATAGCTAAATATTATCGATAAATTTTTCCGATATGTTTCTATATTATCGATAAAATTGTCGATACATATCTATGCGTATTATATGTGTATAGAAATGTTTATCGATATAGTAATATTTTTATCGTTATCGATATATTGGTCAATATTCTTAACGATGCACGTATTGATATGTACCTGTACACTATTTTTTCATGACTTTTATCGATATGCCTTAAGTAGGTTATCGCTTATCGATGTTTATATATACTTCCGTTATCGATCAATTAATGAATCCATCCCATGAACAATCACTTCTCGATACACTTATCGATATGTACCTGTATACTATTTTCTCCTTGACTTTTATCGATATGCCTTAAGTAGGTTATTGTATTATAATTTTTCGACAATTTTAATCAATATATGGCGATTTATGTATTTAAATATTATATCAATATCGATATATGCAAATATATATTTTAATATTTCACGCTTCAAATTTTTCCCAAATGACTTTTATCGATAAACTGTTAACATATTGCTTTATATATCGATTCCGCTATGTATGATTTTCTTATCTGTGCTTTTAATTGTATCATAGGGATGGTTTTTACCAATATACTTGTAATCGATTGTTTTATTTATCGATTTCGATATTTATGACTATCTTATTTGTACTTGTCTTTGTTTTGTTTTTCCTTAGCAACCACCTCAGTGAAGCCCGAAGTCGAAGATGTCTTTAGCTTTGATGATGATGCCAATTCTTCGGATCGTATCTCCAATTGTGGTACCAGTGAAAATAAATCAATCGATTCATTTGACATGCGTCCAACTCCAGCCGAGGAAGCTAAAGAAGATTACAACCAAAGCGATACAGCATCCGAAAAATTAGCAATTTCAGAAATTTTCTATGGCTCAAAAATCTCCAGCACATCTCTGGAAGATGGCGATAAGGTTTCGTTGAGTAGCCAGTGCGCAAATGATTCACCCACCGCACAATTAGGCGCCAAATCGCCAACAATTGAAATACCTGCCAGCGCCATAAGACGCAGCTATCAACTGAATACCATCGATTGTGATATTGGTTCACGCAAAAGTATCGATTCATTTGAGATTATTACGCAAGCAGTGGAGGAGGAACGAAAACAATTGAAATCTCAACAAATTGCTGCTGCTGCTGCTGCTGACGCTGACAAGAAACAGATGCCCGACAGCAAGAAGGCAACCGAGTTGCAGTCGCAAGTTGCTTTGGACTCGCTGCAAGCCTCGGTAATATCGAAAATGTCCGAAGCTAAAGCGGCACAAAATAATCGCATCTCCGAAATGAGTGCAGAAAGTTTGATTTGGTTGGCACATCGTTTGGGACCATCACTTACCTCGCGTTATATTACCCGCAATTTGCTCAAAATGCTATCATTATGCTATGTAGGACAAGAGAATTTGCTGCCAGAAACTAGTGAGCATGCGGAGGTGGGCAACCTTAATTATTTCTCCATGTCCGATGCGCGTGTAGTGGGCGATCGCAGTGCAGCGCGTGTGCTGGAGTGTCTAATGTCCATAGCTGGTATGCCATTGATAATTTCTCAGCCTTTTAGTTTCTGTAGTATTTACAAATTTTAACAGCTTTATTCGGCGAGGAAGTTATACTGATGCAATATTTTCCACACATAAGTGAGCTAATTGCTTTGAGTGCAAAGCGCATAACAGCCAGTCTTGAGGGCGCCATCATAAGTACATTACAACTGCTCAAGTACTTAGTGCCCTGCTTGATGGATGCCACTCTAATGGAGCATTTGAAGGTATAAATACTATTGTACAACCTTCACGCTTACTTACCTCTTGTAATATTTCTCTTTCAGGAAACAATACTCAACACTATACTGCTGCCAATAGTGCGCTTACTTGGCTCAACACGTCTTCTCATGCCCAGCGGCTATTTGGGACGTTCTGTGTTGGCACGTAAATGGTTGGATGCAGTTTATACGCTCTGCGTACGTATCGGTCCTGATATGTCAAAGGAGCATTTATGCTTGCCCGCGCTTCGGCCATATTTCCTTATATTCGATAAGGCATTTGGTATTAGAGAACATTTTGAAAATTCGCCAAACAACCCATTATCGATATCACCAATAAGCGAAGTAGCGGCTGAAGACGGCGGCGCATATTCTAGCCGTGAACGTGAAGAGATACGCGACGTGTTTAGTCCGGCACTAGCGCACATTTCTTACTTGTCCTTCTTACGTTTTTTGGGCGAGGCTATAATGCAACGTACAATTTGCAATTTAGAATTTATTTTAACCCTTTGCCACGAGTTCGAGCAACCCAACTACATTTCTTTGCAACCGGGTGCTGGCAAATCAAACAACGACGATGCGGTCGACAGCCCATGTAAGAGTAAAGATAATTTAACGGAGCATGAATTGTCTGTGGCCAATAGTTTCGGCACGAATGTCATTGGCAACCGCATTGAAGTAGTTAGTGCTGTTGCGGCCGGTGCAGTTAAGCAATCGCAACAGGATATTGGACCAATGGAAGTTTTGGATATGGTCGCATACAAATTCGAACAAATACCAACTTTGAGACATTTGAAAGGCAATTGGTTGGCATACTGGCGTCACGAAATCAGTCGGCCCGATAAGGATATGATGTTGAATTTAAAGCAAATCAAATTGCAATCCTTTTTTGGTCACACAAATTCGGTGCGTTCGATTCTGGCATTGGACAACGAGAATAGTTTTATATCGGCTTCTAAGGTGAGTGAAGAAGTTTTATTTTGTAAGTATTGTGTGTACATATTATTTACTCACTTGTTAAATTTCATAGCAATTTATATTTTTTTTTTTATCATTCATTGGCTCAAAAACTACTACAGCGACTTAACAATGTAGCGTGTTCCTTAGATATCTGTAGGGAGATTCTCTAAGCAGTTAGCGATCCGAAAATTGTCTCCCTACTGGTCTCGTCATAGGCTCTAAAATAATAAGGAAGGTGGCGGTGGGGCCAATATTTTTAGAAAAATCGTACTTAATGCTTGATTTGATTCAAACTATGCAGAAGAAAATACTACAAAGAAGGAAATATCCCTAGCTAGATGCCGCTGTTATGAGTTAAGCTTTATTTATATCTTATGCCACAATTCACGCAGACTGAGTTGCGGGTCTTATCTACATAGTTATATTAGGGTTTCACAGTCGGCTTTTGAGCCAGTAAGATTTATTTATTTTTTTCAATTAATGTGTTCATTGAACTATTATACTGGACCGGTCGAAAGTATTCGACGAGATTAATCACACGTTACTACTTTCACCTGACACCTAGACCTGTTTATCATGCGAACGTGATTATGATCCTGGTCTGGAATGGTTTAGAGTACTTTTTTATATCCACGTTATCGAATTTAGGTAAAGCTTTTTGTAGGATACAATTTTGGCATTTTCTAGGGATATCAGAAAATCAGTCGGCCGCTGTGGTGTAGTGGTAAGCAGTGCGCGCTTCCACTTCGCAGCACCTGGGTTCAAGCCCTGGTCAAAGCAACATCGCAAAAAAATATAGAAAAAAAAGGTTTTTTCCTAACAGCGGTCGTCCCTCGGCAGGCAATGGCAAACCTCCGAGTGCATTTCTGGCATGAAAAACAGCTCCTCATAAAAATACAATCGCCGTTCGGAGTCGGCGTTAAACTGTAGGTCCCTCAGCTTTGTGTGACAACATTAAGGCGCACGCCACAAATCGGTGGAGAAGCTCGGCCAGAAACTGACATACATATGTGCAAGCGCCAATCTATTATTATTATCAGAAAATCTCGAGCTCCCGCGCATGCATTTTTTACAGCGGCACCATCAGGCCTACGCTACTTAACTAAGGTCATAAACTTTTAATTTTTCATGTGTTTTCAAAATTGTTTATTCATTTAAATTTCGTACTGGTTTGGTTGAAAAACGTGCTTTTATACGCAAGAAATACCGAACATTTCAAAATACTGGTGACAAAATAAAGCAGTAAAGACAAGAAAAAATACATACCACTTTCAGGACAAAACCGTTAAACTATGGTCGCTGCGCAGCGAGGGCGACGGACGTAAGACAACCTCCTGTCAATTCACCTACACAGCACACAAAAAATCCATACATTCACTCGCTTTCCTGGAGGCTATGCGTTTTGTGGTCTCCTGTGATTCGGGTGTACATATTTGGGATCCCTTCATTGGACGTCCATTGGGCGTGTTAGATGCGCCCAAACACAATCCCATAACCGTAGTTAAAGCACTGCCCTCACCCAGCCCGCTCATCATGGCCGGCACTGCAGAATCGTCGGTGAAAATAATCGATACACGTTGCATGCAATATGTGAACGAGTGGCGTGTGAGTAATACTGCAACACAGAGTAATGCCACCGTGCGTTGTCTAACGGTCGCTCCATCGGGCAATTGGCTCGCCGTAGGACTGTCTTCGGGTAGTATTGTTATGCTCGATACACGTACGGGTTGCATTTTAAACGCTTGGCGACCAATGGAATGCGATTTATTACAATTAGCTGCACCCAATGATCAGCAATTGATCAGCTCGGCGTTGGATCACAGTTTGGCAGTATGGCATGCAACGGATGGCATTTTGCACTATCAATTGAAGTGAGTTTTTCACGTTTTTATGATATCTATAAACATATTATGATATTTCTCAAATGTCTGCTTGCAGACCACCCGCCGAACCCGCTCATTTCCTTCAAACCATCGACTCGGAGTTAATTTATGCCACCACGGGCAATCGTGTCGGTATTTATGCAGACATTAGCAGCTCACATGCTGCACACACAGTCACCAAGTTGCGCGCTGAAACATTCCGCGGAGTGCTGACCTCGCTGGCTGTTTTACCGTTAAATCGCACATTCTTAGCCGGCAATGAAAGTGGAAATATTGTACTATTATGTTAGTACGTAAATGTTTTTAAATACATATGTTTTAAATTAGAATTATTGAAATCGCATAAGTTTTCAAAATAAAAATACCAAATATGTACCTACAAGTATGTACATACATATGTACGTATTAATGTGCTCATGTGCTTTCAAAACGTAATAGTACTCAATTGTGTTATAATATTTTTACTATTTAGTTTGACTTCTAAAGCAATACTAAATTTCTGTATCCAAAATGCTAGAAAAAACATACCAACAAATATGATTTAGTTGATTGATATCGATTTGAAGTATTTTGATGTGAACATTCCATTTAAATAATTCCATTTAATATTTATATAAGAGTGATAGAACTCTTTAGGCTAATAACTGTAAGTAAAAAACCTACACGTATATTATAGTTTCATCTATATTACAAAAAATCAAGCAAAAATATATACAATTTAATAAGACTTGTTTGTGAAAATAATTTTTATATTTTTGTTTGGTGATTGGTATATAAAGTGCATGGCACTATTACCTTGCTGCAGTCGAGGTCCGCATGCGCCTGTCTGCAACGCCAACGACCAGCCGAAAACTTTCGCAATCGGCTTTCAATCTGCTTAACTAAGCAACTACTCGTCGCCCGGTTACAAATAAATGAGCAGTTAATGGTTTCGGCCTGATCAATACATGTTCGAATATTGAAATCTCAAAGTACGGTGGCAAATCGCAAGAAGGCACATCGTGCTGTTTGTACCAATTATCGGTTTATAAATCTTCTCGCCAGCGAATATTTAGACAAGGTGCAGGAAAAAAAGAATAGCTGATATTTTTTTTTATTTCTATCTTTTAGAGATTTATATTATTCTCGGAATTTTTCTCCGGATTTTTGTTTTTTTAATTTTTGAGGTTCTTGCTTTTTCGTGCCTCTTCATTTTTTCAGGACATTTCGGTGATTTTCGTGTTTTGTTTTTCGAGATCTTTCGCGTTTTCGGGATTTCCTTACTTTTCCGGAGCTTTGCGGCCTATATTTTTCGAAATCTTTCGGCATCTTTCTTACCTTCGAAACTATTCCGGGGCTCGGTATTATTTCGGAATTTTCGGAATTATTTCAGGATTAACATCCATGTATACACGGGAAGGAGATTTATGTTACTTACTGTAACTTATATTCCTCACTAAGCGAGGAAAATTTTTATATTGAAAAGGCAACAGTTTCTCACAGAGAGCAACCATAGAAGCATTTTTAAAAAGGTTACTGTTAATCATTGACCGCTGCTGTATATCTCATTCGATAAGATTGACATCTGAATTGATTAATAGTTATCATCGGTACACACGGTATTCCAAAATCAAATTACTTTAGTCGAGCAATTCTTGTATACATATACATATGTACATATATGTATGTATGTCGGTGGGGTCGGCTCGAGCCCCGCCATCCTTCCCCTACCTGGCTACGACCATGTTTCTATGTATATGTATGCATGTTTATAATATATGCAATATTGTATTCATACATATAAGAATATACTCGCATGTATGTATTTGCACTTCCCCCCCAAAAAAAAAATCATCGAGCAATCGTGCAAGAAACAAGTTCAACTGCGCTCCTGTGCCCAGTGCTGGTTGCAGCAAGTTGGTTAGTTCAAATTCGTAATGCTTATTTTAGTTTACTTTTTTGTTGTGCTTTTTTCTTACGCGATATACTTATACACGCATCCAAAGCAGGATGATCGAAAACGACAACACAAAGGAGGCACTTGTAACAGCAGCGACTTCTTAAACTGCTGCAGTGATAGGGCGCTGTATTTTATACAGATTGCGCTTGCTTGCTTGCATACAACTTTCGATGTGCACTTATGGACAAACTTACATATGTACATATACTTATATACAAATATGTACATATGTATGTACATACATATCGTCGATGTTTTTGCACAACCGCCTATCTTAGGGCACTCAAATTTTACAGGAGAGCGAAAAAACGTTTTATTCATTGAAGGCATTGGCCTCGATAGGCGGTATTTTCTCTGGCTATTATTTTACAAATCTGTTGTTTTAATAACGATTTTTATGCATCAATCTCGATGCCCGGAGTTCAGGGTTACCAATTCTCATTTTTCCCTACAACGGCGATTTAGGCGGTTTTGCAAAAACGTCGACGATATGTAGCTGATGATGCATATTTTCGCATGTAGGATCAATGCAACGAATGCTGATGCCCAGCCTTTAGATGCCAAGTGCAGTCCGGTTTAAATATAATTTTATCATCTCATTTTTTTCGCAATAGTTTTATTTTTTTTATACGTTATTTTTATGAAGCTGATTACGAAACGGTGTTATATGTACAATGTATGTATGTATGTATGCACGTATTCATATTTTCTTCCTTATATGCATTTATTTTTGATTCGCTTCACAATGGTTATGTTACCCTGTTACCCTGAGGATTTACAGAGGACAATAGTGCGTCTAAAATTTTGCGACTTACTCACTAACCATTAAGCAGTGTTGGTTGGATCCCCAAATCTTGGAAGTCAATCGAAATTATTACCGTCCACTGGCAACACCAACACCTGCGGAAGCGATGACTGGGTGTTGGCGCCAAAGAATCGACAAAACTTTTATAAATATTTATATGCATACACTTATGTATGCAACATACATACATATGTATGTATATACATACATACGTTCAGATACGCAGTTTACTTCTTGCCAGGAAGAGTGTCTCGTATTTTTCCTTCATTGATTTTGCCCTAACCTTGATTTTAGGTAGTTCATTTTTGGTTTATTAGTTCGCTCAAGACTTATGTACACAGGTCCCACTCCTTTTTAATCTTGTTTGCCTTTAATCGAAAACTTCAATAGAATATTAGTAAAGGTGCAAAATGTACATACAGTATTGGACATATCTATATAGCACCCCCATTTCAAAGTGCTATTGTTTGCAACTTATTTTTAATTATTTTTTTTTTTAGAATTTTCAATTCAAATACAGTTCATTCTCTGACAAAACTAATATAAAACCGAAACCCAAAAAGAAAAAAAAAAAAAAAAAACTACAAATTTTAACCCAAATTTCAAACTTTTTTCAGAAGTGATAGAATTTTTTTCGAGTACGCAGTTGCAGCCCATTCAATTCTAGTCTGATAATGTGCAAGTTTCAAGTCGCTAAAAATTACCATTGATTTTTTAAATTTTTTTTTTTGTCCCATTTGCTTCCATATCACGAATAAACACAGTTCATTTTTATATGGAAGAAACTCGCAACACCTTCGGCGAAAAAAATTCTAAAAATCAACGGTAACTTTTAACTACTTGAAACTTGTACATTACTAGACTCAAATTGAGTGGGCTATAAAACTGTGTACTCGAAAAATCCTAACACTTCAGAAAAAAAGTTTGAAATTTAAGTGAACATTTTTCGTGTTTTTTTTTTGTAAGTCTTTGGAAAACTTTTAACCTTGGGTTAACTATGGGTTTTGTTATATAATAAACTGTTTTATTAAAAATTCCTAAAAGTAAATAAATAAACATGAGTGGCCAACAATATCAATTTGAAATGGGGGTGCTATTGTATTAGCCAATACTGTACATCCCTCCCCAGTGTGCCTCGAAAAAAACATACAAAAACGGTTTCAGTCAGAGCTTTTTCTTAATTAACGCTTTTCTGTGGCAGCTGTATTACTTAGGACCAAGTACCGTAACTGTTATGATCACATAATTTAACCGTTAAAATTTAATTTCTATTTTTCCGATCAAATTTGGCGGTTATTTTAAGATTTTTTTTCGATAAATTTTTGAGCGTTTTTTATTTGTGTTTTTTTTTTTGGTCATATTACAATCGTTATTTTCACATTTAACTCGGTCATAAAAACGCAGTCGCAATCATAAAGGTTAAAAATGATCGAAAGAAATAAAAATCCATGATCGAAAAAATAAAAATCACAAAATACCGATAAATTTTGAATTTTATATGGAAATTTACAGAAAATAAAAAATCATTTTCCATTTAAATTGCTGGTGAAATCGGCTGTAAGTTTTTCCACATGAAATTAATTTTACAATTTATAATTTATATTTGAATTGAAATAATTGACTTACTTTACTCTATAACCTCCTCCAAGCGGACTCGAGAACCTGCGATCTCAAAACTCGAAGCAGTAGTCTTCACGCAACGCCACAGCCGACATTTGCCAGAAAAGCAATTAACTGCGTTTTAGCTTTAGCTTTAACATTTCAAGGTCAGAAGTCGCGTTATTTATATGTATATAGGTATGCACATTAGGGTGGTCCCGAAACAGTAAAGTCAGAATTGTAATGCTCTCACTCCCTAGGATTGTTCTATATCGAAAAAAGTATACCCCTATTTTTCATTTTGAAATCAAAAAATATTTAGAGGTCGCTCAAAGCGCACAACACTTTCCGTGTATTTTTATATGAGAAAAAAACAACTTTTCGGAGAAATGGTATAGAATTCTTGAAAATCAATATTTTTCGATCGGAAAACTCTGGTTCTCTTCACGAGACTTACAACAATAATACCCAATTGTTTATTATTAATTAATTATTATTAATCGTATCCGTGATCGCCTTCGTATGCATGTTCGTCTTTGAATTCATTTTCGTGTTTGGGTCCGCCATCGTAATCATATTCGTCTTTGTCTTAGGTTTAGTCTTAGGCTTAGTATTAGTTCTAAAGGTTAAGAATGTCACATATTTACTTATATCTTTTAGAGAGAGCTGAGGATTTTTAGCTCGCTACCGCTGCTTAAGAAAAACACCAAAAGCTAAGCTTTCTAAAAAAAAAATAAAATAAAATAAAAATTTTGTGTTATTTTCTCAGCAAAATATAAAACTCAAACAATAATGATTATTTTTTGAATAATAAATAAAACTCGGTAAATAATCATTAAAAATTATTATTTTTTAATTAAAGTTATAACCGTTACGGCTCCTGGGTACCGCACGATATCTGCCTTAATATTTTATCAATAATTGAGAAATCATCTTACTGAGGGTAATTTTGATCAAAAATTCAAAATAAGAATATTTGATGCTTACATTTATTTTGCGGTTATAGTTCCATTGCACCGAAAATAGTTCGGATACTTCGACATTGTACTTTCTGTGTTCAGAAACCATAACGTCCCCGGTCTGAAAATGAAACATTGACGCACGCAGGTGCAATTTACGAAAATCGGCAATTAGCCATGCGACTAGTCGCTGTGTTGTTGGCTTGAACGTGTGTTGTTGGTGAAATTGTTGGGCCAAAAGATTTAAATAAAATAAAATAAAATGGTTTGAATCGGGACGAAGTTCGTCGATTCCGCTATTGTTTATTTAAAACTGCGTTTTATATAGTATTTATGTCATCAATCACATTTGAAAAAAAAAAAACTTAAATACAAATACAGCATTATTATCAAAAAATTAGCGCTCACAAAGCCGTTCTGTGTCGCTTACAACATTTAATTCATTCACTTTTCCACCGGCTGGCTAACAAAAATTTCACGACAAACAGAGAAATTTTATAGCCCACAGTCGTGAGGAGAGAAAAAATCGCATGATGGAATTTGGGGAATCCGAAATGTTCAAAGAATTGTTGCATGATATGCCATTTATACCAAGGCAACATGGCCGATAGCAGCTGGCGCCGTCATGCGAGCACACAGCACAAAGCACAGTAAAGCGCAAACGAAATGATGTGTGGTATTTCAAGTCCAATGTGCCTGCCGGCCGGCCGGCGAGTGGATGTCATGGCACGCAAAGGAATGTGGGCAAACAAAATAATCACAAAGTCACGCACACGTATTGTGGTTGGTTGGAGGTGATAGAGCGAGAGACCGATGCCAGTGATGGCGTTGGTTTTGTGACGCATTGTTGTTACGTTTGCTTTCTTTGTACGTATTGTATGTATTTTTAGCGTTAAACACACTTTCATTTTGTTGTTGTTTGTTGTTCAAAAAAGAAAAAGGTAAACAAAATATATTTTTTTATGTGAGTAATCAAAAATTATTATAAATTAAAAAAAAAAAGTATAGGGGGGAAAAAAATTTTATTGCATCGGCCGGGAATCGAACCCGGGCCGCCCGCGTGGCAGGCGAGCATTCTACCACTGAACCACCGATGCTTGTACATTATGCTGTGCAATTGCCCAACTTCAATGTTTTGATAATTTTCAATGGTACCTTCATTGATATAAATATTTTAGTCAAGTGATGCACCGAACAGTTTAGCAGCCAATGAAAATTGTAAACAATTCCCATGCTGGCACTGTACAATTAGGCAATATTGCGGACCTTATAAATGTACATAATTAAATGTTTTGTTGTGATCTTTTGTTATTGAAAACATTTTAATTAAATCTAAATATATAGATATATGTATCGTCGCCTGGGTAAAAGATTGTCGTATGTTAATTTCGGCAGGTTGTGGGAAATCGCGATTGAAGTTTGAAATGCAATTTCTCAAAAACGCGAAGATAAATTTCCTCAAAGTCTCTGAAAATGTTAGTAACTCTTAAATTATTTAATTTTTAATGTTTATTGTTAATTAGTTTTGAGTTTATGAAGGATTTTCTTTAGTAAAATTTTGTGGTAAGCGTCATTTGTCCACAATTTGGCAGCCACTTTTTATGAAATACGACAAAATGTGATCGAAATTTCTACTAAATTACCGACACTTTTTTATTCAATATCTCGGAAACTTAAGCAGATATCCAAAAATCGAGAACGCGATTTTTAATATATTTATTAGTTTAATATGACTGCATCACTAACTAAATTTTTACTAAATGATCGAATTTTTTTTTGTCAATATCTCGGAAACTAAAGGAGATATCTAAAAACTGATANCTTTTTTATTCAATATCTCGGAAACTTAAGCAGATATCCAAAAATCGAGAACGCGATTTTTAATATATTGATTAGTTTAATATGACTGCATCACTAACTAAATTTTTACTAAATGATCGAAATTTTTTTTGTCAATATCTCGGAAACTAAAGGAGATATCTAAAAACTGATAACATAAATCGAAATATCTTATTTTAAAATATATATAACTGCATCTAGAACTAAAAATCGTCAAAATGGCGCTTACGACAATCTGATGAAATGTAAAAACGCCTAACTGACATTTTTTCGAAATTTGGTTTTTTGAATTCCCAAAAAGCTTATACTAAACCCTCCTTCACTAAAAAATTGACAACCGTAACTCAAAAACTAGCGAACTTATGCCACTTTTTAAAAAGCCCTAACCGAACGAATCAAAATTGTGAAAGCAAAAAACTCTAATTGAAGTAGTTCTGCTACAAAAAATTTAACAATGCAAATGGAACTCTAAAGAAAATTATGTAAGTTTAGGAGGTTTTGCCTTTCTAAATAATTCCAAGACCAGCTAAAATTCTTGACTGTATTAAATTACTAGCAGACCCCAGAATTAATTTTTTATTAAAACATTTGGTCCAACGGTTTCACCACCAACAATTCACGTTCACATTTGGTTTTGTAATCGTCAGAAGACATATCCTTCATTGCCGTCTTAAATAACCCAATGAAAACGTTATGTTCGTGAAGAAGTTCTTGCGTCATCCTCCTGCGGTGAATCCTCTTTGAATCTGCATAGTATGGTCCACAGAAATCCAATATACATAGACTTAGTTCAGACGAAATATCGTAAATATATATAGGCATTTATCATGAATTGTCTTTATTCTGTTTAGTCGCCGTAAAGCGAGGACCGTAGTGGATCTGGTGGTTCATTTAACGGTGGTAATTTGACTTTGATCCCTTGTGTCTCCGAATTACTTCACTTGACGATTTTTACCAATAACTCGACTCTAGCGCCACCTTGCAGCTCTTTTTTGCAATAGTATTGCCCCTACCGTTACCAATATACACACATATATCTCGAATATGAGGCAAATTGGATTATAAATACGACTTTAAGTAATAACTCGACTGCAGCACCACCTGGCGTTTTCAGTTAAGAACCTAAATTATAAAGGGAACACAAACAAAATCATTAAAATCGTTTCGGTTGTTTAGGAGGAGTTCACTCACAAACACAAGTACCGAAGAATTATATATGTATTTACAGATAGCTAAAAGATTCAATATGTTTGGAAGGTGCCCCACCCCCTTTTCCAATAGCCCCTACTTTTCTCCTTGAGTATGGGATTGATTTCAAATATATGCCAAGTTCCAGGACTCTAATACACATACATTCATCTAATACAATATTTTTTCTACTGGTGCGGATAAATAATAAGGTAATCCGATTGAATACCATTTTTTTTAATCGCGTACTTGTTACTTGTAGTCATGCATTGCCTTAAATTTCTATATTTTTACTGAAATTCATAAGAGAGTTTCACTTAAAATTCCACATGATTTTGTGAGTATAAAATTTCTTGAATGCTTAATTTAAAAAATGATATTTACGAAGGTTCAAGGAAGCGAGCTGAATTATTCTCAGGACAAGTAGACACTAAGATTGTGTTTCATATTTCAAATAGTTCCAGCTGCGAAAAACTGCGAATTCAGCTTCTATTGTTTTTTTGAAGTGAAACTTCTTTAGCGGCGGTTGGTTGGTTGGGAGTAAATTGGCAAAGTCAACGGAAATTGCACACGGAAATGATGCAACGGAAATGGTTGTGGCTGAAACAATTGCTTCTTGAGTGTATGCACATGGCATGAATTTAACAAAAACTCCGTAAATAAAAGGATAAAGAATAACATTTAGAAAAAGACCAATGCAAGAATGAAAGTAAAGGTTAGTCAAAGATAACTATAAAGAAAAAGATGACGATGAGGATATCGATAAAATAAAGGTAATTATAGAGAAAAGGATGTAGATAGAGACACAGACTCAACTCAACAGAACTATTTTGGGATTTTAGATGTTTTCGGGATTCTCGGGACTTATCGATATAATAATCGACATTTTTATCGGTTTTGTTATCGATATTTTTATCGAAATTTTTATCGATTTTCCTATCGATATTTTCGGAACGTATCAATATTTTTATAGATTTTGTTATCGATTTTGTAATCGATATTTTTAACAATTTTGTTATCAATATTTTTGTCGATATTGGTTTTGTTATCGATATTGCTATCGATTCTGTTATCGATTGTGTTATCGATTTTGCTATCGATGTTTCTATCGAATTTTTTATCGAATGCCATCGATTGTTTTATCGATTATTTATCGATTTTCTTATCGACATTTTTATCTATTTTCTTATCGAATTTGGTACCAATATTATTATCGACTTTTCTATCGAAATTTATATCGAATTTGTTATCAATTTTCTTATCAATATTTTTATCGGTTTTGCTATCGATATATTGTTAGATGTTCCTATCGATTTTGTTATCCGTAGAGTATAAAGATAAAAATGAAGATAAAGGAAAACAGAATAACATAAATGTAATTAGAACGAACAGTGTATGTATGTATATTGGTTATGAGACAAAATAGATTTGCAACGTAAGTTTCCCTTCACCAGTGTGGCCCAGGCGCACTTACGTTTTTTTTTTGCAGAAACCCTCCTGTGAAGTTCATTGAAATTTTATTGTATAGGAAAGCACTCTATAGATATTTATAACTTGCGAATCTATTAATAAGATAAGTATCTACCTCGTAAAATTGTTAAAAATCCATCCAAATACGCATCTCAGTTGCTTTATAATAACAGCAACTTACTGTACAACAACAATTTAAGCAAACATTTTCAAGTACGTTATTTTATGTTTGCTGTTTGATAAAGCCTAATCAGCATTTGTATACAATCAATTGACATTTTATGAAATATCCCACTGTTAAAAAATTACCCTCGCTAACAGTGAACCGTACGCACTGCGCTGCTGCTATGCATTGTTGTTTAGAATTCACGCACAGCCCAGCAATTTTGCCAATAAAAGTTTTGATCATTTAAACAATTGTCGCAGAAGGTAATTTCACTTTCTCGCAATAACCCAACGCGGCTGCTTGCAAAGTAAAGACGACCTTAAAAAAGTGGAGTAGCATTGATAAAAAATTGTTACCGCGTTTGTCCTACATACAACTTCGTTTTGTTTTTTTCGAGTTTTTGTTTTTTGGTGTTGTGAATATATTTAAAAAATGCGGGTCAATTTAATGTACGGCGCAACTTTGTTGATAATTTGTTGTGTTACGGCCACTACAGGTAAGTAGATCAATTGAACACAAAAAAAGAGAAATAGAAAAGTCATAAAAAAAAAAATAGTTAATTGTTCAAGGGCACATAGTGAAAAACTAAGCGTTCTTAGCTTCAAATGAAGGTTTTTCTATTACTATTTCTATATTTCTATTATTTAGTTAAAACAGATTCTTAGTTTTTTTTATTCAGTAAGATTTGTGCTTTTAAAAATGAATATTGAAACCATTTTTAATATACAGTGAAATCTCGATATAACGAATTTGTAGGAATTGGCCAAATGATTCGTTATACAGTGAAACTTCGATATAACGAAGTTGTAGGCATTAAACAAATGCTTGATTATATCTATAGTTTCGATATATTTTACAATATCAAAAACCTCGATACAACGAAAAATTCAAAATTTTGCACAAAACTTGTTATAAGTATAAGTTCGTTTTATTTTTATTTTACTTTGTAACGAGACTAGCCTTCAATAAATTCAGAATTCTTTATAAAGATAAAAGACTTTAAATCTACACTTTGTTATATGGAGGCTTTTGCTAACGGGACCTCAATCATCAATATATTCTGATGGTTTTCGTGCTCCAAATTTCTTGGTTACATCTATGGAGCATTTTTATTTGGAAAATTTCGCAACAACGAGGTTTTTTCGGTGGCCTCAAGAAAAATTTGGTTTGTTATATCGGGGTTTCACTGTACTTTATTCATAGTAGTTGTCGCTTTGTTACTGGATTAAAAAGATATTAATTAAATATGTCCACCCATATGGAAATAAGGCTGCATTTAACTAAGTAGTTTTTAATTGTTCATTTGTGGTTTTAACAATTTTTACAAATTTGCGGTGCCCTATCAAATATATCCAGCAAGCTATAACTTTTGAACGATAAGCTTTCCACAAAAAAAAAAAAATATTTTTCTCATATTCAGGGGGTTGACCTTTCCTGATATACAAACTCTTGGACTTTTAGCTTATCGTAAAGTTTTTCGACACTGAAAGGGTTAAATACGTACATACATACATGTGTACACAGGTTTTTATGAACTACAAACAGAGGCAATACGCCATAACTCAGAAATCGGTAGCTGTACTTTATAGACGTCTGATAGATTATCTTGATAATTTACGGGCACCTACCTGATTGCATTTGCTCAGTTATATAGTAAGAAAAATAAAATAATTTGCACTACATAGCGTTGCAAGTAAAAATTTAACTGCTGCAATAAATTTCTCTCACAGTGCAATAAAAATAAGCTAAGGCCAGTAGAGTTGAGGTTTGTTGTAATTTTGACCTAATCGGCACTCTTATTTCTAGTGTTTGCTTGTATTTGAAATACTGGATTTTAGTATCGCGGCAATCCGATTTTTTAGTCTATGTATCTATGCAAATTATTCAGATTTGATAATATGGGGAATGTTTGTAACGCCTTTGCTCATAAAATACTGAACCGATTTTAATCTTTTTTTCTAAAATGGATGCATTTATGATCGATAATTTAGTGACATACCTATATTTTCATAGAAATAGAGATCCCCTTATATTTAACTGGGTGCACTCAAAGACGAATTTTAGCCAAAACCCTAAACACAAAAAGTCTTACAAAAAAAGCTCTCTAATTCACCACTCTTGGGGAAAAGTTATTTTGAGAGAAAGCACTTTTACAGAATTTAGCTCACGTCGTTCCAACAGTAGCAGTGGCCGAGTGAGCAAAGCACAGGAATGCCATTCGAAAGAGTCCTCGGGCGACGAATTTTTTATTTTATTTTAATTTTTTTTTTAATGTACTTTTTTTCTTTTTCTATTTAATTTTCTTTAATGGTTATAGCTTATTTCGACCAAAAGCTTAACTGCATTTAAGAGCTCAGAAAAATTCCAAGAATTTTAACATGGTGCGATCGGAAAAGTTAATTTCTTACTTTTTGCTTTTTAACTTCTCGCTTGTACTTATTATGAGCAATTACCCATAAACTGCAGTTAAGGCTTGGAAGGGTGGAAATGAACTATTAAACTTTATTATTTTAAAAGGCAAAATATATTTCTTCTATTTAATTTTCATAAACTTATTTTTCTTTTACTTTTAATTAGTTTTTTTTTTCTTTATTTTTTAGCTTAATTTGCTTCCAACTTTTAAATTTTATTGTTAAAAAAAATATTTTTTTTATTAGCATTTAATTTTTAGAATTTTATTTTATTTTTTCTTCTTTTTTATTTAATTTGCTTCTTTTCTTAATTTCATTTTCTCATCATTTTTGTATTTTATTGTTTTAAAAGGAGAATTATATTTGCTTTATTGCATGTAATTTTTAGCGACTTGTTTTATTTTATTTATTTATTTTTTTCAGTTTAATTTTCTTATAATTTTTAGATTTTGTTGTTAAAAAGACATGTTTTCAATGTCATATAATTCCTCAGAATTTTTCTTCTTCTTTTAAATTAATTTGTTTTTCTTGTGTTAATTTAATTGTTTTTAATTTTTATGTTTTAGTGATAAAAAAAAATTGTTTTATTTCCTTAAATTTTTAGTATCTTATTAACCGACTTCAAAAAAGAAGGAATTCTTTTTTATGTACATATGTTACTCTGGACCACGTTAACCGATTTCTATAATTCTTTTTTTTTAAGGAAAGGAAATTTGGTTCAGATCCGATCATTAGATCCTGAAGAGATTATCGGTACTTTTAAATTTTTAAATGAGAATTGATGTCGGTTTTGTTATTGCTAAAAAATTACTTACTCATTTTTGATTAAATTTTCTTTTAATTAATTTTTAGATTTTGCTTTAAAAATAGAAATATATTTTTTAATATCATTTATTTTTTAAGTACTACAAACTTCTTTTTTATACAATTTATTTTCGTTTTCTAATTTAATTTTTAGATTGTATTGTTTAAAAAAAAAGATAAATGTTTTTTTATTTCATTTAAATTTTAAAAACATTTTTATCTATTTTTGCATTATTTTCATTTTACTTTTTTATTTAATTTTCTTTTATTTATTAGTTTTTATTGTTTTAAAAAGAAAAAAAGGTATATATATATTTTTTTATTTAATTTAATTTTTTAAAAACTAATTGCTAAAAGGTGAATACATATGAATGCTAAGACCTCCACGCTAGCAAATCTTTAAATCTTTCTCTCGGAAAGACATTCAAGAGCCTTCCAGATAGTTGTCAGAATTGACAATTGTCTTCCGAAAGACTGTGGTGTGTTGAAAGTCAGTTGACAGAATTGTCCTGTAAGTTACTGTAAGTACTTTATTTTATTGCTCTTGTTTCTAAGCGGATACGCGTTTCTGGCGAAGAACGGTTAGTCAAAGTTTGTTTTTTTTTTTGCCTTTTTAAGTGGTCAAAAGTGTAAAACAAATTGGACAAAATTTTAAAATTTTGATATTTCCATTAGTCCAGGGAAAGTGGAAGTGCATTTTGCAGAATATGTAAATACATTTTCTCAATTGCATAAACATTTACACCGTACACATTTTCACATATCTCTCTCTTTCGCTCTTCGGTGCAGCGAAAACTGGCTATGGTCCTGGTGAACAAGATTGGGGTCATGTCGATGTACGCACTGGTGCACACATGTTCTACTGGCTCTACTATACCACGGCTAATGTCTCCGCCTATACTGAACGCCCACTTGCCATTTGGTTGCAAGGTGGTCCCGGTGCTTCATCTACGGGCTATGGCAACTTCGAAGAATTGGGTCCACTCGATTTATATGGCAATTATCGCAATTTCACTTGGGTGAAGGATATGAATGTACTCTTCATCGATAACCCTGTGGGCAGTGGTTTCAGCTATGCTGACAGCTATCGTTATTTAACTAAAACCAACAATGAGATTGCTTTGGATTTGGTCAGGTTAATGAAAGGCTTCTACAAGCGTCATCCGGAATTCGAAACAGTACCTTTGCATATATTCTGTGAGAGCTATGGCGGTAAGATGGCACCCGAGTTTGCCTTGGAGTTGTATTACGCGGTGCAACGTGGTGAGTTGCGCAGCAATTTGACTTCGGTTGTGTTGGGTGATCCATGGACCTCGCCAATTGATTCTGTGCTGGCATGGGCGCCATTATTGTTGCAAATGGTAAATGCGAAAGTGTATGGAAAAGAAGTGTGCTAATGCCACTTCTTATGCTATACACGGATATGTTTTTTGACAAAATTTAATACATATTTTTTAAATATTTTTAGGGCATTGTCGATCAAACTGGTTATGAGAAAATTTTCGCAGCTGCTAACAAAACTGCAGATTTGGTCAATCGAGAAAAATGGACACAAGCGACCAATCAATGGGGCTCGACACAAGCTGTTTTACTGCGCGAGTCGAAAGGTGTGGACTTTTACAATATTGAGAAACCAACCAACGCGGATTCCTATTCCAGATTATTGTTGAGAACCAATAATGTTCAAGGTACATAAGTAGTAACAAAATTTTGGTATACATAAAAATTTTACTATATCTATCTAATGGCTTCCATTTTTGCAGACTTAATGTATCGCACTATGGTGAAATATGATGTGGATATCGNCCGCAGCTGCTAACAAAACTGCAGATTTGGTCAATCGAGAAAAATGGACACAAGCGACCAATCAATGGGGTTCGACACAAGCTGTTTTACTGCGTGAGTCGAAAGGTGTGGACGTTTACAATATCGAGAAACCAACCAATGCGGATTCCTATTCCACATTATTGTTGAGAACCAATAATGTTCAAGGTAAGTAGTAACACAATTTTGGTATGCATAAATATTTCACTATATCTATCTAAATGCTTCCACTTTTGCAGACTTAATGTATCGCACTATGGTGAAATATGATGTGGATATCGATGAAGATCGCGATCAAATTTTAGAAGATCTAATGCGTGGACCAGTTACTGAAGCGTTGAATATTACCTCTAAAGTTAAATGGGGTGCACAAAGTGGCATGACATTCACCAGATTATTCACCGATTTCATGAAGCCTGTGATACATATTGGTAAAGATATTTGAAATAAAAATTAACGTATTATTATATCTACTGCATATTTTATCCACTCAAAATATTCTATCTATTAATTCATAGTTGAACAGCTGCTAAACAGCACCGATTTGAAAGTGGGTGTACTCTCTGGCCATTTAGATTTGATTTGCGCTACGCCCGGTACTGTAAATTGGATTGAAAAAATGCAATGGAATAATAAGTCCGATTACGAGGCAGCACCACGTGTGGGCATCAATGTCGAACACATCCTCGAGGGTTACGAAAAGAGTGCTGGTAACTTTACTATGTTTTGGGTTAACCGCGCTGGTCACATGGTACCTGCTGATAACCCTGCCGGCATGGGCTATATTTTAAGGAAATTTACCAACTTTGGTTAAGGAAATAGAATAACAAAAAGAGACAACAAATTGCATACATACGTCACCTTAATTCTCAAAGGCCCTAACCAGCAATTTTTTTATTTTACAGGAGAAGCAAAAAAAAACATTTTAAATATCAACAAATCATGCATACGGATAGGACACTTTAAAAAGTAGCATAACTCCGTTGTTTTTGATACTAACGCTTTAAAATTTTTATTGAAGGTATATTTTAATACATCCTACCAAAATCTGTGAAAACCAGTTTTGAAAAAAGTGTTGGTTAGGGCCCTTGTGAATTAAGGTAACGATATGCACATACAAACACAATATGTAAAAAAACTGTATTTTTTAGATAGAAAACCAAAAATAAAGTAACTTACAAATTGTTCTAGAACTATATTGAAACTACTCCTAAATATAATACAAAATAAGGCCCTCTTGCTGTTGTAACAGCATAAATATTTCCCAAACAGTTCTGGTGATTGTTGTCGGAGTGGAAGCCCTTGGCCAGATATTAACCTGCATCCTTCTCGTATGAATATTAATAAGAGATTGGGCGTTTACGCAAATGTTAGTATTTGGCCGAGCATCTCCTCTGATTTGTGGCGTGCGCCTTGATGTTGTCACACAAAGCGGAGGTACCTACAGTTTTACGCCGACTTCGAACGGCGATTGTATTTTTATGAGGAGCTGTTTTTCTTGGCAGAAATGCACTCGGAGGTTTGCCATTGCCTGCCGAGGGACGACCGCTGTTAAGAAACAATCTTTTTTTCTATATATTTTTTTTTGCGATGCTGCTTTGACCAGTGCNTGAGGGACGCCGACTCCGAACGGCGATTGTATTTTTATGAGGAGCTGTTTTTCTTGGCAGAAATGCACTCGGAGGTTTGCCATTGCCTGCCGAGGGACGACCGCTGTTAAGAAACAATCTTTTTTTCTATATATTTTTTTTTGCGATGCTGCTTTGACCAGTGCTTGAACCCAGGTGCTGCGGAGTGGAAGCGCGCACTGTTTACCACTACACCACAGCGACCGACTGATTTTCTGATATTCGATNGCACTCGGAAGTTTGCCATTGCATTGGTGTTGCTTTGACCAGGGCTTGAACCCAGGTGCTGCGGAGTGGAAGCGCGCACTGCTTTCCACTACACCACAGTGGCCGACTGATTTTATACCTTAAAAATGCAAAAATTGTATCCTACAAAAAGCTTAACCCAAAGTTGGCTGCGTTCGATAACACTGGTCGTGGAAATAAAAAAGTACTCTAAACCATTGTAGACGAGGATCATAATCACGTTTACACGATAATTAAGGAGTAAGGGAAGTTTTTTCAATGTCATCACGTGTGATTAATCTCGTCGAAGACTTNTGATTTTCTGATATTCGATAACACTGGTCGTGGAAATAAAAAAGTAAACCATTCCAGACGAGGATCATAATCACGTTCCCACGATAAACAGATCTAGATGTCAGGTGAAAGTAGTAAGTGGGAAATAACAACATATTTCTTGAGTTTTAAATGTGATTTTGAAATCGCATCGATGAATGTCGACCAGAGACCGTTCGCAAGCCAGCGCTTTAATTAAGGAGTGAGGGAAGTTTTTTCAATGTCATCACGTGTGATTAATCTCGTCGAAGACTTTCGACCGGTCCAGTATAATAGTTCAATGAACACATTAATTGAAAAAAAAAATCTTACTAGCTCAAAAGGCGACTGCCGAACACTAATATAACTAGATAAGATCCGCCACTCAGTCTGCGTAAAGTGTGTTGTGAAGTTGGAAGACTCCGTTTATCTTCAGGAGATTCGCAATAACAATACCCAATTGTTTATTTAACCATTTTTTAAAGCAACTANGTAACTAGATAAGATCCGCCACTCAGTCTGCGTGAAGTGTGTTGTGAAGTTGGAAGACTCCGTTTATCTTCAGGAGATTCGCAATAACAATACCCAATTGTTTATTTAACCATTTTTTAAAGCAACTAAATTTTATAGGTCCGCCAAAAACCCCAGAAAATGCAAAGGTGGGTCCACTAAAATATCTTAAATATTAAAACATGGTATTATTATTGCAAGTCGCCTGAAGAGAACCAGAGTTTTCCGATCGAAAATTATTAGGGCTGGTCAGAATCTATTGGCACATGCTCTTGTTACCATGGCAGCAAGCATAAAATTTGCAAATGCAATTCCAACTGCAAATGCAACACCATTTCCACAACATCCTGAACAGACCAATTGATTTTCAAGAATCTATGCCATTTCTACGAAAAGTTGTTTTTCGGTATGGAACTATCCTAGGTGGTGACAGCATAAATATTCCGAATTTACTTTTTTTTTTACCACCCTAATGTACATACATATATATGCACATGTAACTGCGGTGGGCAGGAGTGTCCTCTTCGTTATTGTTCCTTTTGTATAGAGAGAGCTTTAATTTTATTTTGTGGAATATCTCAAAAGGCTGAAGTCACAGTGCTTAGTAACGCGTTTTTTACAATAAACGAATCTCAATTCATTTGTATTAGTACGCCTTCCTCTTTTATAATATTTAATCTCCTGGTTGACTAACTAACCTAAATATTCTATAAAGTTTCTTGATAAAATCACAAAAAATTAAAAATTATCATTAAAAATGTACTTTGCAAGTGCATAATTTCAGTTTTTTGTGGTGCCCGTATTTTTTATATAAACAGTGCTGCCAAATCTTGAACAGTTTACTGTGTGTGTGCTTGCCAAAAACTTCCCGCCGGAAATGGTGAAAATATGAAACAACAGAAGTTTGAAGATTTAATTAAGTTTAACAAAGAACAAATTACGTGTGAATGTATTATAATCCAACATGATTGAATTTAATGGAAAAGGTTGATTGCGCATGGGATGGCAAGAGCTTATGCATGTAAGTATGTACATATGTACATACATACTTATATATTTTGCTAATACAGCGCGAACGCAACTAAACAAAATACATATAACTGATAAACATTTCGCGACAGTGTCAAAAATATTTATATGAACAAGGAGTGTGTTTGCAGTCCAGTTGGGGATGTTACATACATCGCATTTCTAGGCATTGTGTTATTGCAAGATGTGTTCAGAATGTTCAAAAGGAACTTGTTGTGGTTGTAACCACAATGGTTGTAACAACATACCAATTACCTAAAGGGTTTTTGGGGAATGACGCTGGAGTGACAGTCCTTGGCCAGATATAAATCTGGGTCGCTCCAGTTAACTAGAATCGACTGTCGTAGGAACCTTTAATTCTTAATTGTAAAAGTACAAAGCAAGAAATTAGCATACAACCGTGGTTGCGTGTATTGGATAATTCCATCCGCTTTGGTTTGGAAGCAAAAGAGACTGATGTTATGTATTTTAAATTTAGGTATTCAGGTTAAATAGATTCTTGCCTATTTAAAGGGTTCAGTAGTTAACTGCATATTACAAACTTTTTTCTCATGGCAGATATCATCAAAAAATCACTTTTTAGATCAATATGTAATCCATCTCGAATAATCGTTCACCGCCGATAATCTCTAGCTTTCGAATAACCATTCGTGTTCAGTTATTCGAATATTTGCAGTGCATGAATTACGTCGTAAAGCGAAGCGCACATTAGCGCGATTCCATCGTTGCGAATACGTTGCGAATTCGGCTGTTAACTTCGAATCCGCAAACGTGCGCACACTTGAGCGATTTTTTCGCGTCGATTTCCGATGTACAATTCACTCAATTTTCCCTTTATTTCGTGTATTTTCGCACTCGGCGTGCCCAAATCGTACAAAATACTATTATTACGAACGTTTTTATTAGTTTTTGTACATTACACGTTTTTTTTCTTTGCCTTTATTGCTGTGACACCTTTCTTCTTCTTCTTTGACGCCTTCAAAACGCTGCAAGCCGCGTTTCGAACGCGTCAATAAAGAGGAACATTGAATGTTCGAAAAATTCGCAGCGACGGAATCGTGCAAGTGTGCGCTAGCGCATTAAAATGTATGGGTAGCATTGTTGTAATTTTTGGGCTTGCGGATTCGCAACGACAGAATCGCGCCAATGTGCGCTTCGCTTTATTCGTTGAAGGCATTTTTAAAGTTCAGCACGCCAAATTTTATGTATATACATATATTTATTACAAATATGTACACACTTTCATGAATTTGTACTGATGAAATGTAAGTACTTTTTGTACGCTTGCTTCAGGTGATTGGCTAAGGACGTAGTGGAGTTGGGGAAGCCAAAGACAGCACCGCAATTGGAGCACATAACTTGATTAAACAGGATAATTTTTTTTATTAGTATAAATTTAAAATTCACAAGCATTTCGCAACTAACCCAACAATCGAATGTTCGACCCTTTAAACAATTTTCTGAGTGCTCAGAATCTATGAGTCTAAAATTAGTATTGCTTTCATCATAAATATGATTCTAAGACTAATCAACTAGACTGATTGATTTTCGACTCTTTTGGTGTAGAAGTAAAAGTTTATTAATAATCAGAATTACAAATAAATTGTATTTGTAAGACTCAGAACGCGTCATATTTCAGACTCTAATAACTTGGAATCATATTGGCGTGCCCTTCTAAGAAAGGAAATGTCCTCTTTTCTGACTCCTTTTTTTAGCTCATAATGAGGGTTACAACTTAGAATTCTGAGACTTTTGTGACTCTAAATTGAGTCCGAAGGTTTATAGGGGTTATACTAAATATTCGAATAATCGTAGCCCACCGATTATTTGAATAATTAAAAAAAAATCGAACATACGATTGCCAAACGATCTTTCGAATATTTGATTAAAAAATTGTAAAAGCTAAAGTAATAATAATAGATTGGCATTTACCCAATTAGCAATTGTTTTTTCTTAAAATTGCATACCTTTCACTTCAATGTATTTGAACAAATTGAGTAAAAGGTCTGAAAAAGTATTTGCTTAGGGTTTAACATACGGCCCAATATGTTAGTGTTTGGCCGAGCTCCTCCAATTTTTCCAATTGTTTTTATTTTTTGATGTTGGTCGGAAACTGGACTTGAACCCAGGCCCTGGGGAATGTTTGTTGTTGCTGTTGTAGCGGCTACAACCACCCCGCCCAGATCGATTAATATCTCAGTCGTTGTCGTCAAGTTCCACTAACGGCAGCCCAAAGAAGCGTGCAGCCTCAATAGGGTCGGTCCACAGGGACAAATGCGTTAGGGTTGTCGGGTTTTCCGGGCATGCGAAGAGATGTTTCGAGTCGTGAGGAGTCTCTCCGCATGCCGGACACTCATTTGGCACATCCACGTTTAGTCTACTCAGGTATGAGGTTAACCTGCTGCAGTAGTCAGAGCGAAGTTGGGCTATTGTGGTTCTTGCCTCCCGAGGCAGATGAAGCTCCGTCTCGTCAATGTCCGGTGGTTGTGCGCCTAGAACGGCATTCACAGGTCTGGAGTCTACATAACTCGAGACTGACTCCCTGTGAATGCCGTTCAAGTCAAGCTCTAACTCACCTCTATAACTCCCGATTCACTTTTAGAACCAGCTGCCATTTATTTTGAATACCGTCAGATTAAGATCAGCTACTAATATAATTGATCGCAACCTTGGAAGCGACGGACACATAATTTTGAAGTGGGAACTAAAATTTGATTTCTAACATTTTCCGCTTCCTTAAAAAGTCGTCTAAATCGGTCAAATATGAAAGCATTTCTACATGTTTTATTTAATTTACGATTTGTTATTTAAAAAAAATACAGTAATGCTTAGTTTGTTGAACTATTAAGTTCAGCTTTTAGTTTTATGCTCTTGTGTATAATTCAAGTCAAATGCAAAATGAACAAAACGGCTTACTTAAATACAATTGAATCGAGCATGGCGCCCAGGCATTGCACAATGTTATTTTGCATAACCTTGTCGACTTTTTCCTCCAGATGCCGTTTGGGGTCTTGTTTACCGACATTTTTGATGGCTAGTTGCTCTGGGGTCATTTTCTCTTCATCTTCGAGCGACTGTAAATAAATTTAATTTAATGAGCAATTAACAAATAGTTGTAAGATTTATACTCTCTTACTTTGTTGTAATTCTTAGCTAACTCAAGCATTTCCAGTACTGTACTCTCATTGATCGCACAATGTTCATTGTAGTCAGCCAAGGTGAGACCATCTTTCCATGATTTTTTGTGCAGGTTAAGCAGCATTTTTTGTTCCAATTCATTCTTACGATAATTTATACTTATCGAGTAGTAATGCCGATTCAGTCCATGTATTAAAGCTTGAACGGAAGGTTTCTGCAGATGACCCAAATTCGAGGTTGTCTGGCGGGGTTCTTGTCCCAGTACAAGCATATTGGGGTTGATCAGACGGAATGCATCGATAACCACTTTACCCTTTACCGACTGAATAGGATCAACGACAACAGCAACAGCACGCTCTGATAATGCTTCAAAAGACTGTTGTGTGTTAATATCTACACCAGATAACCAACAGCCGAAACCAGGATGCGAGTGATACCAGCCGACCACCATTTCTGGACGACCGGTTTGTTTTAACATATCCAACATTTTGGCTTGAAACACGGGATCAACCGCTTCTACCGAAACGCCAGTACCAGTTTGTGGCATAGCGAATACATCAATGACTTGCACTGTGTAATCATCGACGAATTCACCCAACATCAAACCCATAACTTCCATAGGTACGCCAGCACGACCATGTTTTAACATTTTTAACAAAGCCAAAGATGAGATGTATACCTGCTCAGCAGTATCCACAACGGGCGCATCTGTTGGTGGTGGAGCCTGTGGCATTGCACCACCTAAGCGTAATAAACGATCCATGCTGTCAATGAAATAAGGGAAAGTGTTAAAGTTTGTTTTAATGGGGAGTTTTAATGAGGTGTATCTGCTATTTACCTGTTATTTTATAGTATTTATGTACGGGAAATTACAAGAAATATGAATACAATGCGGCTAGATCGCAGAGAAATGCAGTAACACAACACAGCAAAAATTTATAAATGTCATACGAACGCTTTGACAGCTGCAAATTGTGCACCGTCACACATGTGGTGCGTTCAGTCTGGGCTATTCGATTGGGAATGGCGAGCGTGTTCAAAAGTGTAAGACATTTTTATGAGCTTTATTAAAATGGCTATGTAAAAATTTCGTTAATAAATATTTGATTATGAATTAAAAAACTGGACTGGAAAGCTTAAGAAAAGTATAAAAATGAATGGGATACTTAATTTTGAAAGTAAGCAAAAAAAACAAAAACATTTACGCTCTCAAAGCATACATATATATGTATGTATGAAGGAAATTTATGTGTTATTCTTGATTACACCTGCATGCTTGAGGAAAAAAGGATATTTAAATTTAACACGTTACTTTTATATGTGATCTCACTTAAAAAATTTTTTATTTATAAAAAATCATTTTTGTTTATATTAACACATAGTAAAATCCAAATGCATATGTATGAGCGCTAAAATTGCGTTCCGCAAGAGAACACACAGCAATACCACCAACTAAAGTTTAGAAAGGTGGTCGGCACCTCATTAATGAAGCAGGTGATTGCCGCACAAGTTGTATTTTAAGCTTCCTCCAGTACAAATTTTATAACAATGCCTGCAAAAATTAAGAAATAAATAGAAACGTACATAAATAAAAATAAAAACGCAAGTAAAATTAAAAAATAAAAATAAAAATTGCTTTGCGGTTCTTCCTAGTTAGTATGTTACTGCTAGTAAAGCAAGTTGCCGTGAGGAAATACCATTTGAAAACTGATTTGAAACGGCCGGCAAATTTTTGTGGCCTAGTGATATTTAACAATTTAATACAGCAATAAAAAAAACAAAGACTATAAATATGTATCAAATGTTATACATTGGCGTAATTTGAGTGGCTGCTATTAGTTATTACTTAGTCATATACATACATATATATGTACATATGTACATACATACATGGACATACATATGTATGTACTACATATATGTATCTACGCAAACTGTAGTCGAGTGCAACGGACTGACTGTCGTCCAACTATCCATCTTTCATTTGAATTGTGGCGGCGCATTCACTTCTTGGATCACAAACCGCAACGGTAGATGAAGAAATAACCAGATAGACTTACAGTGGTTACAAAGATAGGCAGCAAAGAGACAGAAGAAAGATGGAAACAGGGCATTTCAGCCGTAGATACTTAGGTATATAGTGCAGGCATGACTATCATAAATATAATTACCAAGTTGCAGGTATGCATTAATACATATTTTTATTGTCGTCGTTGCTTTGTTGTAGGTCCAAACATACATACAAACCATTCGTTTTTAACCCATGCTTATGGGCTTATTTGGAGCACCACTCTGCTCTTAGTGCTCACTAACTTTTTTTTTCTTCTTAGTGCTAATATAACTATTGGGCGTGTGTGTGTGTACACAACATACTTGAATTTTCATTTGTGTTGCCTCACTATTCTTCCATTTTTAAATTTTTTTAATTATGTTTAATTTACGTTTTGTTTTTTGTATTTTGCCACGACTTACAACAGTTCCGTTTTTTATGTTTTGTTTTTTTTTTGCTGTTTTGTATCTTTCTAGGGTTTTCTTAACGCTCAATACATACTACCAAGTAGTCTGCAAGTCACATTGAAACCGTCTTCAGCGATCTACTAAGCTGTTGTATTAAATAAGTTTTGAAAAGTTTCAGTTGCATTTTGTTGCCGGATGAGCGCTGTTGCTCGTAAAGTGTAAAAAATGTGTTGTAAAAATTCGTTAGTAATTGATAATTTGACTAAACAAAAAACGCGGCATTTAAATACAAGTCAACACAATCTATAATTAAAACGTGTTGTTGAATAATTGGCGCAAATGTTTTTGAAGAAAGACTCATAAATTAAAATTTTATTTGTTGTGCATCGATTGCTGACGGCGCAAGTTAGCAGTTGAGTGATTGCAATTGCGGTTAAAGTAGAGAAAAGAACGAGAAAAACAAAAAAAGAAATTCTGCGGCCTATATAACCTATTTATTTATTGGTAAGTTCTAGGTTAGTTATTGAATATCTTAATATGCCAACTATTTACGTGGTATGATATTTTGCCTACGTTGATTAAAAACATTCTTTAAAGTTTTTGATGTGTAAACACCTTTGCTCGCGGCATGGTCAAAAATTGCGTAAACCGTCACGAGTAAGCCAAGAAGATTTCAGAAGCAGATTAAATTTGTTTTCATTTGTTTTAGCAACATTGATCGTTGATATACGTACATATGTATATATGTAGTTCGGGACTATTTCGGCATCAGTTCGGGTCTATTCTTCTTCTTCTTTGGTCTTAGTTCGCCCCCAGTTCGCAAATACAGTGCACCCGCGATAACTCGAACTAATGAAAACCAGACCTGTTCGGGTTAACGAATTGTTCGAGCCTTCGAATGATGTGTATTTTTTATAACCGAGCTCATTGGTGGACAAGGGTATTACGACTTTTTTCGCAACGGTTGTTTTTAACAGACACAACGAATCGAGAGAGATATAGACGAATGTGTACAAAAATGCTCACACGAAAAGATAAATCGATTAAGCCGTGACTGTCTGTCCGTTCGTCCGAAGTAAGGCGCCTTTAAATAAAAATATGCGCATCTAGCAAAATATGCGGCCCCAAGGCCAATATCTCCGTTTCTTTGGGAAGCTACCGCAAAATTTTACAGGCAAAGGTTGTTGTTGTTGTTGTTGTAACAGCATACAAACTCCCCAAAGACTTTTTGGGGAGTGTTGCTGGAGTGACAGTCCTTGGCCAGATATAAATCTGGGTCGTTCCGGTTACGTAGACCCGACTGTCGTGGGAAAGGCAAAGATGATGTTCAGGCAAAGGTCTTTGCCATCATCCTTTAAACAATTTCAGAGTGCTCAAAATTTATGAGTCTTAATGAGTATTTCCGAAAGTTCGAGTTATCGTGTGTTCGAGTTTTCATTAATGCACTGTAGTTTGCGTTATTTGTGGTATAATTTCGGGATAAGATCAGGACTTTTTAAATTCCATTTTATACTACTACAATATTTCATTCAGTTGTAAGTGTAATCAAATTCAAGTGTTCTGTGAGTTTATCTGAAAGCCTCTACTCAAAAGTACTAAACTTAATCAAACTAAAAACTGGCGCATACATACCCGATAAATAAAATAAAATAGTGATACGAGAGCAATTTTCTAAGAAAATTAATTTTTGAATAAAAAATATTTTTTCTGCAAAAGAAATTTTAGTTATCAGCATATAGCCTTAATTCAGCTCGATACATGTAGCCCAGCGTAAATGGTCGTGTACAAGTCTTGAAACTGTCCCGAAATAGTCGCTTATTAGCCCTGAACTAATCTCCGAATTGGCCAGAACTAGTTCCAAAATGGTCCCCAAATAGTTTTGAATTTGTCCCGAAATGATCCGGAAAGTGTTCCGAAAAGGCCCTGAAATAATCCTGAATAGGTACCGAACTCGTCCTAAACTAGCCGTGAGCTAGTCACGAAATGGCCCTGAACTAGGCAAGAAATGTTAATTTGGACAAACAGGAAGGTATTACAAATTTTCTGCTAGGTTAATGCAAATTATACCCATATCGAGAGCTAAGATATTTTCACCTCAAAAATTGCTCTTATATGATCTCTCAAGAAGTATCTTTCAATATCTATAAACATTAACGTGGTACATATATCTCTACCAGTATTGCAAATGAACAACTACACATTTTAATACTCCCCCCGCGATTTTACCTTTGACATAGTTTTATCGGAATTTGTACATATTTACGTTTCACGCTTCACTTCATCTTCTCAATGGGTTTTCATTTTAACTTCATGGGCCTAAAACAATTCAAGGCAAAAATTTTAATACAATATTTGTAGGTCAAATAGTACAGCTGAAATCGAATAGAATAAATTGCTCGCGCGAACATATGCAGATGTTAACGCAAACACTGTGCAACAAAATTATTTATGCATTCCCGCATTCGTTTCTTTTGTTTTAAGCATCAGCTGGTGCCGAAGTTTTACTCGTTTTTTAGCTACCTAAAAATGCATATTTGCGCAAATTATTTGTTTGGTCAGGCGGTTATTGTCAGATTCACTCAAAACCTTATCAACGACGAGCAACAACAACAACAGCAATAACACGAATAAATAATGATAATTGCGACAATGGCAATTTAAACAATTTACGTTGATAAAGCAAAATTGTGCCGTCTACATACACAGGTGGGCGCCCGTAAAGAGCTGGAAGGGGGCCTGGGGTCAGTTTACAATTCAATAAATATCTCTAGTAAAACAACTTTTAATAAGCAATGATGGCATGACTTGCAAATTTTTGATTAAGTACTAAAATTAATTTCGAAAATAAATCCTTCATCAACTGCTTTGCTGTGTTAACCTCCCTACGCCTTTGACTTAACGCTGTGCTAGTCGTTCTAATAAGGGAAAAATATAAAAACATGCATTAGGCTGGTTCATTTTTTAAGCAGTGCTACAAATCTCACATTTCGCTTTAAAACTTACATTTGCTTAGATGACATTGTAGAACAACTTTTAGATTTTTGTTTAGAGCCTCAACGAAACTATATTCAAGGTTAAAGTTTCTATCCTTTGGTAAAAACTTTAAACAATTGTGGTCCTTTTTCGAAGAATTCGCAATTGCCGAGTGGGTAAAGCACTGGCGAGCGCTTAGAGAGATACGAGGATCCAGTCATTGGGCAGTGGAACTGTTTTTTTTTTTAAATTTCAATAAAAATAGCAGTCACAGGGTTAAACTTTTCTATAAAAAGTTACGCAAAGAATTTTAATTTTAACCAATATGCCGATTTTAAAATACAATTAAACGTTGTAGATGCATTATTGGCTTAGACTAAGTTAAGTTGATTGCCCTAAAACAAGTACACGCTTAGACTAAAAGCATTAGTCCTTTGAGATATCAACACGAACGGTAGCATCTAAGTTGCGGTCCAGATGGACTCCGCCGGTCTGATTAAAAAGTGCGATCCTAGATGTTTAAAA